AGCATCGATTTTTCTCTTGGAGCGTATCATCGTCTTCAAAGTTTTTTTAATTATGTCCATTAGCAACGAATATGAAACGCATCTTTGAGTATTTTTGTGTGCATTATATGGGGTCGTTGAGCTTTTTCACCAATTTAGTCCCCTGTGTGAGTTGATTCATCATGAGTCCATTAAATGTGTTTTTCAGGATATTCTTGGGACGTCATTGAAACGATAATAAAAAGATCGTAGTATTGCGCATGCACACGTTTCATTTGATTTCGTCATGTCAAATTCGTGATTTTTTTCGCCTCACAGAAGCGCTTCATTTCCCATTTTGAGATTGAATGAATTTTTCAAGCCAACGCAGTGTCGTACAAATTGACCAAAAAATGAAATATTTTTATATTCGCTGTATTAGTATAACTTTGCTCGAACGCCTACAAAATGAGCTCGGGAACCGCATCGTTGTACGCTCAAGCAAGCCATTTCAAAAAATCTTTAGAAAATCGTCACTCTGTGCCCAAGAGAGCCATAAATTAGTCCACCGAGCTCGTATATACTATTTTCGTCATTCATGTAGCCAAAGGCATATATGAGATTTGTCGCTCTCGCCAATTCTGATGGGGCCGTTTTGAATGCACTTGAAATGCTATTAAAATACTGCACTATATTAAATTAATTAAAAATAGTTACGATCGCAGCACTATCGCAACGAAGATGGTATCGAGTACGTAGTCTTTCCTATCGAAAATGTCCTAGCCACGAGATTGTACGATGACGAACGGCGAAGTTATGGCTCTTTTACGTCTCGAGGCGCTAGGTGAAGCGATTTAAAACGAGCTGATATAGCTTTACATACAGTTTTGTTGGTGATGAAATGAGTCGCATAATGTAAAGTGAGGTAGGTGTGTTGGTGAAATAGAAAATAATTGTATTGTAATTTAATAATGAAAATACAGATTAAACAATTGTATTGAAGCGTAGGGGATGGTTGGAGAGCGCGACGAGGGTTTATGAGTGATATTTTAGTGTGATGTATGAG